GGGCCACGAGTCCCCAGGGCACCGAGCAGTTGGAGCCCCTCAAACTCACTGAGGCACTGCGGCCAGGCTTGGAAATGAGCACTCTCTTTGTGAAGAAGATAGTTGGAAGGAGAGGGCATCCAGCTTCGCATTTCTGTCCTGTCTTCTCTAATCACTGTTTTTTCTGCTGAAGAATATAAATACTGTTTTTCCATATTTTAAAACATGGTTTCCTAAATGGAAAGTCTCTTAGGTTTCTTTGGAGTGATCCCTGCAGAAGTTAATCCAGGTGTTACCACCTCAACACTTTGGTGTATTCATCATTTAAAAAAAAAAGTGCTTAAACACTACTCCAGTTATGTAATTTTTCTGGCTTGTCAGTAGCTCACGTGGAGGCTTTTATGATAATTTTTCAGTGTGGTCTTTTAATGTCAGGCAGTGGTGATTTAAAAACAATGTGTTGATGGATGATGTCCCTGATGATGGATGCTGATGCAGGACAGTGTCCCAGCTGGAGGACATGGTGACATCCAAAGAAAGTCCTCAGGTGCCAGGGACTCCCCTCTCGCACCCCAGTTCCCAACTCCTGTCTTTGCCCAGCTTCCTCCCAGAGCTCCGACACCTCTCCATCTTCCCGCCCCGCTCTTGGCCACTGCTTGATGAAATAGGTGGCAGCTGCATGTTTTGCAGAGCAAGCTGGGGCCCGTGAGGATCACGGACGGCCCATGAATAAAACACAGACCTTTTTGTTTTGTGCCAGTTTGAGCAAACGATGTATTAGTAATGAAGTTAGTCGCTTTTGCTTACTAATAAATGAAATGTTCCTGCTGCGGGTTTTGTTTCTGGCTTAGAAAGTTACAGGGAAGTGTAAGGAGAAGGTTGTAAAGTGGGCTGGTTTGGGATCTGTGTGCTCTATGATGGTTCTTATTTAAAGAGGAGCTCAAGGCAGTGCTGGTTCCATTTGCCCCTGGTCTGAGTCTCCAGAGCCAAGACTTGGGCGAACAACTGGCAAGCAGATAAAATCCCAGGGAAGGGCTTTGTGCAGGGAGCTGCAGCCCTGGGGGTGACAAAACGTCCCCTCTCCCCCGCCAAGGGGCCATTCCCGGGGCTGGGGCTGGGAAGAAGCGAGCCCCCGGGATTGGAGCCCAAGCGGGGACTGAGAGGAGTTGCAGCGTTGGTGTCAGAGCCTGCTCAGGGCTGCTGCTCACAACCGAATGGGAGGCAGTTTGGATTTTGGGGGTCTGCCATCACAGCCGCCTTTTCACAGTCTGTGTTTGAGAAATGGAAGTGCATGTGGTCCCGTAAATATGGCCCTTCTTCTCCCCGGAGCTGTGTTACTGGGGTGTTGGAGCTGTGGGTGGATGCAGGGCTGGGGGATGTTGTGATAGGAGGTTTTAGAAAATGTGTGTGTAAATAGTAAAGGTGCACGTGAAGAAATGTGCAGTGCTGTGTTACGGAGCACAGCGCTGCCTCACTGGTTACTGCTTTACCCAGAGAGGCACGTCTGTAGTACAGGTAGCCCTTGTGATAGCTCCTTTTTCAATGATCCTTCATTTTTCTTTCTTACATGTAATTATAATAGCTTACAGTAAGGATAACTCTATTTATTTTATATGGAAACAAAAGTCTTAAGAACAATGTTTGCTGTTTAAAAATACCCCATTTTGAAAACACTTCATGATTCATCAGTTACAGGCACATTTTAATCAAATAACTCTCTAACACTTCTATTCATGGTTGTCCTATAAAAGCAAATATTGTTTTGATTTGCGAGTGTTCATTTCACTGAAATGAAACTCAGTGTGTTCTGCAGTCGGGAGAGTTTCTTATTTAAATTCTGCAGCATATGTGCAGCTAATGAATTAAAATGAGAGAAGAATTACAACCTAGGGTAGAGCATGGGTCACAACCTTTTCAAACAGAGGTCCACCTGTCATGCAAGTGGAAATGGTAATTGGCTCACTGCAGCTGAAATTATCAGTGCCAGATAACAGGAGGAATGGCTTAGCAGTTGTAAACTGGTAAGTATGCCTAGATATTCAAAGATAAATGTGTAGAGACAAAGCAAATGACCAAAGCTGGTTATTTGTTGCAAGTAAATTCGGATGAATTTGATTGTTCCTTTCTATCCATGATCACGTCCTGATTTAAAGTTGTGCATTCTCTCTTTGGTTTTTTTCTCTGTTCATCAGGTAGTTTGCAAATATCCAAGGCCCAGAATATTCGTTCTACCTAGTGTGTCTATGATGGGGAACTAGTTTTGTAAAGCATTTGATAATCTTCTGATGGACTGCCTGCATCTTTGTAAGCTAGAAAATAAATGGTTAATGAGTGGGGTAGAGAACGTGCACAGCTAGATGTGGGCATTCATGTGAAAGGCTCCCTTTACCTGTCTGTGAATTGTGACCAGCAAAGGCTGTGTTGGTGGTAGGACCCAGTCCCTGGGGTCAGTAGGTTGAAAGAGGCCTCTGGAGAGCCCACATCTTGGCTTGTACTCAAAGGCTCTCTTCTGCTGTTGAGCAGTCTTCCTCTGCCACAAGTGAGATGTGGTAAGAGCCCTTACAGCAGACCTGGGTCACTGAAGCATTCTCCTCCGAGACAGTAGAATAAATTAATTTAGCCAAGAGTATTCAGCAGGGAGTCCCTCTTCCTAACCTTATCCATACTCAAGAGAAATGTGCCCTCAACACAGATAATCCAACTCAAACTGTCCACATACTTGAAAAACAGATGAAAACCAGTATAATTGTGTGCGTGTACACCAGTCCTTCTGCCCCACAGGGAGAGAGCAGCTCTTTAATTTTAAATTGTTATTATTCATAGCTCTTTCCTAAAATCCCCTGCTGGGAATAACAAGCAGTGGATATAGAGTTTCCTAATTGTGTGATTACTTGAGAGTGCAACTACCTGATCTGGAGTCTAGTTTCCATTTACTTTACCTTCAATAACTTTATTCAAAGGGAGTAATGAAAAGAGTCATCAATTATTGAAATGAATTCAGCTTTGTTCCCAAAGTTTGCAAGATGCTAAAGACTTGAAAACAGAAGTGTGTGAAAGTCTCCATGGATTATTGTGGTTGGCTGGAAAATATTAAAACTGTCTCCGAGAGTGTCCTTAAAAAGGTTGTGTATAGTCAACACCACTTAAAATATTAATTGCATATACCTTCAGGTATAAAGTGAATTTCCAGTGTATTGCATCTAACCAAAATCTTCTTAGGATAAAATTACTATTTATAAATGCAACAGAATATTTTCAGTCTGTTTTACTCATTACTTAAATCAGATATTATTCTCTCTTTTCTTAGATAATAATTCTTTTTGTTTTCTTTTTCTGTCTGATTTGTCTAAAAGTAGTTCTGTGCACCAAAAAAATATCAGAGATGCTGAGAAATCTCTGTGTTTTTTCCATCATTCATTGACTTCCTCAGAAATCCAGAGAGCTACTAAAAATGGCAATTCATTGTGGAACATGTTAGAAAAAAATACTTATTCCCCTTTCTGGAGCTTAGACTTTGTGGGCATTGTGTGAAAAAAATACTTGGGTTCAGGTGGATTTCAGAGCTGGATGAACAGCTAATTTACAGACTTTATTGAGTTCATACCGGTGTTTGCACGGAGTTGTTGGGTACCTGAGTTGTTTGTTTATGGATTTGAAATGTCAGTATTTAGCAGGAAAGTTTTGTTACTTTTTCAGTCCAGGAAGCAGATGTAATGTCACATACCTGGTCTGGCCGCTCTAGTCTAGAGCAACATACTCTTTGTTTAAAATAATGTTCCCTTGCTAGTGGAATAAAACAAAAATGGAGATATGTTAATTTAATGACTATTTCATGGCTGACTTTGAAGAAGTGGAGATTCATTTATAGATCCACAAACAAGAAGAGGAGTTTAATTGTTCAGATAAGTTGTTCACTGCTGATCACCCACTTGACTTTACTTCTGTGGGAGCAAAGGCAAGAGCTTTGTAAATGAACTGTCCCACAACTCTTCCAAATCTGCCTCCTCCAGCGCAGGAGGGGAACCGCCGCGGGAGGCGCCGGGCTGGGCGGTAGAGAAGGGGCTGACGGGTCAGGACGGGCTGGGGCACCGTCCTCCAACCTGTGGGTGGGACTTCACAAAATATACAAATGCAATAACGCCGTGAAGTATGATTTCTTCATTGTATGTGCCCTGGCTCTACTGCTGTTGATTTTCAAGGTGTCTTATGTTGTTTTCAAACATGGTAACAGCCGCAGAGAGTTAAGGCATTACACTGAATATTTAAAACCAGTTTGTACTGTTCACTGCAACACGGACTCTTTAAAAACCTGCCAGATATTGAAGTGATTAGGAGATCAAGGTCACCAAGCACTCATTTTTAGCGTAAATATGCTGCATTTTAAACAGTTGCTTTAGTGCCCTCCTCTTCTCTTGCTCCCCACTCAGCAGAGCAATCCCCTGGAAGCAAAGAGCACAGCTTTGGAAGGGCACTTCGGGTCCATCTGTCTCCAGGACTTCTCACTTGAAAGAGGTAGCAAAGAATATGACGAGACTAGAAATTTCCTTTCCATCACAGAATGTATTTCAGAGCTTCCCATCTCCAGCAAAGTCGAACCTGCCAGCTGTGATTTGCTCTTCTCTCCATCAGCAAGCCTTCCCGAAATTCCCCGTGATGAGGTGCAACCTGAAAAGCTGGCTCTGACAAGTGCTAAAGCACGAAATGCCCTCATCCAGTAACTTCTCCTGACACTACTTTAGCTTTTTTGTTCTTCAAGTATGATTTCTAAGTCTCGACCTCATTAATATGCCATTGCTCCTGGAAGCTGAGAATTTATTCAGGGTCCAAGATGTTTTTTTTTTCTCTCCCTAGAGAATTTTACAGATTGGTGATCTACTAGTATGTTCTTTCTTTTGCATTTTCAATATAAGACTAAAATGCTTCTGGCTCCACATGCATATGAAAGTCAGGACAGAGCAATCCGTTGTTATTTGGACCTCTGGCAGTATATATTTACAGTTTGTTTGACCTCAAAGGAAATTATGAGTGTTCAGCTGGAATACTTGACATTTGAGTTGGGTTGTTTAGCTGTGGCTCTTAAGCTGGTGAAAAAAAGGAAGCATGTGCGCAAGTCTTAAAAACCTTTTAGGCCATCTTACAAAAATTTTGATCAAAATTTGGAAGAAAATTAGGATAAGTAAATGCATTCTTCTTTGCTTATGAGTCAGATTTTGAGACATAATTGCATGTTGCTAAATCTGATGAGCTTTTTTGCACTTACCATTATTTGATTTAGAATTTTGAAATATTTGCACTTTTACATGTCTTGAACATCCCAAGCTTTTTTGCCAGTAAGTCTGAATAGTCTAAGTCTTGCTAGAAAACATTCAGAAAATGGAGATTAGAGTAGAGAAGCTACAAAGTCTGTGAGTGATCCTCTTTTTAGATGTTGTGTTTCTATAGCAAAATAGTCTTGGTTGATGGTTGCCGAATCTAGATCTTACTGTGATAGAAATGAATTATTTAGTGAAAGTTGTTGTTAACAGGGTAGTAGGAGAAACATTGCAAAATTTACCTAGCTTGAATCATGATAAAGTTGTTTTTTTCTCAAGATCAAAGATGGTTTTCTAAGCATCTTCATCTACAATAGATATTTTTTTATTTATTTACTGTATCCCTCAGAGGATGACTATTTAATTTTTCTGTAAAATGCAGTTTAAAATATGAGCATACTCAGATTAAAAAAGTAGTGTTCACTTGACTCAAAGAAGGGTGAAATTGTAGCTCGCAGAAAAGAAACATCATGAACACTTCACCTGAATTTCCTTCTCCTTTCCTCCCTGCTTGCTTTGAGATGGGCTTCTCTGCAACTGGAGAGGCCACCCTGCACTCCCTTCTGAAGTACCACCAGCACAGGCTTCTCCTTCTCCCCTGAAAACTGAGTACTTTGCTGCCCGTGGCAGAGATACCAGCTCAGATGTCTCTCAGTAGAGTGGATTTCTATTTATTGTTTATGAGAGTGTCCTTTGACACTCTGGAAGGTCAGCTAAGCTGAGAGAGCTCTACAGGCAAAGATCTTACCTCGCTTTGGAGCATCCATGATTTCAAAGAGTGTGCAAAGTGGTCAGTAGACTGTTGTGTTTGCAGTGGGTTCTCTAACCAGCAGTTGTACCTCTGAATGCTGGAGCACTTAAAGAATCACAAAAGGCACGGGCATGTGGTTGGTGTTAGTTTTTAGGCAGCTCAGCTCCCTGCCTGGGATCGTGGTGTGAGATGCAGGGATGGGCTCTGGGAGGAGGATGGGGCTGGGCTGGCAGGGCACCACACGCTGGGCTCAGGTGGTGGACGGGTCTCACCCAGCAGCGCTGGGCTGTGATGAGATGCTGGCCAGGCTCTGCAAGCGTCGCAGCAGGATTAGCCTGGCACAGCCAGAGGTGGGAAACCAATTCTGTGTCATGAACTGGAGCTAATGCCCTGACCTACTCTGCCCTGGTGAGGCCACCTCTGGAATATTGTGTCCAGTTCTGGGCCTCTCAGCTCAAGAGAGACAGGGAACTGCTGGAGAGAGTCCAGCACAGCCACAGAGATAATGAAGGGAGTGGAACATCTCCCTTATGAGGAAAGGCTGAAGGAGCTGGGGCTCTTTAGCTTGGAGAAGAGGAGGCTGAGGGGTGACCTAATTAATGTTTATAAATATGTCAAGGGGGAGTGTCGGGAGGACGGAGCCAGGCTCTGCTCAGTGATGTCCAAAGATAAGAGAAGGGGCAATGGATACCAGCTGGAACATAGGAGGTTCCACAAAAATATTAGAAAAAACTTTTTCCCTATGAGGGTGACAGAGCCCTGGCACAGGCTGCGCAGGGAGGTTGGGGAGGCTCCTTCT